GGGGCTTGTGGTCCAGGTGGCGGTGGGACCTGGGCTGCTAGAGCAGGCTGGAGGTACTGCTGGGGCTGCTGGATTTCCAGCATACAGCATTGGAGCTGGCAGGGTAGTGGCAAGAGGTGGTATATATTCTGTGGAATCAGATGAGTTTACCAGATCCCATTTCAAGTTTCTTCTCTTTCTCTCCCTCCTTATACAGTGGCACCCCGCATAACGAGCATTTCGTTTAACGACGAATCCGCATAGCAGTGTTTTTTGCAATCACAAAAGCGATCGCATTGCAATGTTTTAGATGGGAAAACATCGATTTGCGATGATTGCTAAGTGTTTCGCTTACCGATTATCACATAACGATGTTTTTTAAACAGCTGATCGGCGGTTCCAAAATGGCCACCGGGTAAAGAAAATGGCTGCCCGCAGTGTTTTCGCGCCCTTTCCTCGCTTACCGGGCAACGAAAATGGTGGCCGCATGGAGAATTTTCGCAGAACAGTGAGTTTTTTGCCCATAGGAACGCATTAAATGTGTTCTAATGCGTTCCTATGGGCTTTTTTGCCCTGCATAGCAACGAATCCATATAGCGATTTTTTTCAGAACGGATTATCGTTGCTATGCGGGGCACCACTGTACTCTATTAAAACCTTATAATATTCTTGGGGATTTGGCATAGGCAGAGAGGGCTACATAGTCCTGAGATCCATAGGGATTTCTGGATGTTTGAGTTGTAATTAAATCAGAAGCCCCTCTATACTTTTCTGTGTGAGCTGCAACTCTTGCAAAGCACCCTATATACAAAATATGATCATCTTCCCCCTCTTTGTCCTCTCCTCAGCCCATTGTACCATAGCAGAGATAGTCTGAGGAGAAACTACCTTCTGCAGGTCTAGGAGGGGAGAAGAAAGCACCATAGACCAAATATCAGTACATAATTTTAGTGTCTCTTAGTCTGTTGAGATTTTGATACGAATATGTATTAAATACAAATGTATATTTTACGAGTCATGTACAGATTGTATTCAGGTGTAGTTACCAAGGTTTGAGACTTAATGTTTTACAGCTGTTGTACATGATGGAACTTTACGTAACTGGAAAATGAAGTAATGTGTTTTCTGAATGGTCCCAGAACTGTACATCAGTCATGGGTAAAGGGGACATTTTAACTGCTGTAAGTCAGATCACTTTCTATGCTATGTATCGTATCATGTCATGTTATGCTGTGAGAAGAATGTTTATTCTCTCTGTATATGTGTTAATAGACTACGTTGATATTTTATTCTCTGTGTAATAGTGTCTATGCAAACTAATATCTCCTAACTCTGCTTATGTCCGGAGAATACACGTTACAGTGGTGCCTTGCTTAGCGATGTTAATTCATCCCCCCCAAAATTACTGCTAAGTGATAACATCGCTAAGCGAAAATAAAAAGCCCATAGAAACACATTAAAACAAGATTAATGCATTCCTATGGGCTTAAAACCCACCTTTAAGCGAAGATCCTCCATAGCGCCGCCATTTTTGGTGCCTCTAAAGCGAGGAATCCGTGCCTGAAAACAGCGGGCAGCCATTTTGTTTACCTGGTGGCCATTTTGAAACCGCCGATCAGCTGGCTGAAAATGGGGGCTTTGCGATGATTGCTTCCCTGCGATCATCGCAAAGCGAAAATACCCCATAGGGACCATCGCAAAACGATTGCTTTTGCGATAGCAAAAAGTCCATCGTGAAGCGATTTCGTTGCTAAACGGAGCGATCGCTATGCGAGGCACCACTGTATAACCAAAATTCTCAACAGGGTTATGGGCTCAGAGGAGATTGTTTTTCAAGCAGATAAGAGCTGAATGTCTGTGAAGAAAAAACACGTAAAAGCCAAGGGTGAAGTTGGAATGGAGCTGGAGTCTGACGGTGCTGAAGATGTGGAAGAGACTGTAACAGCAAGTTCCAGGGTGCAGCAGGTGTTTCACCATGTTTGCATTTAAATGACACTAATTACATGTCCTGGTCTCTTAACATGGAGATGTTCTTGGGGAGAGTCTGTGGCAGTAGGTTGAAAATCCTCCTGATGATGATGTGGAGGAACGTAGACATGACAAAGCAAGAGCCACGATAATAACATGCTTGGAAGATTCACAATTGACATACATGAGGAATTAGAAAACAAGCCAGGTTTGTTGACAGGAACTCAGGAATGTCTATGTACGAGATACAGCTCTGTCCAAAATGGCTGTGGCACATAAGCTATATCGCAAGGGTTTATTACCTGGAGAAGATGTGGCTAACAGACAGATCCTGAAGCTGACGCTCCAATACTTTGGCCATCTCATGAGAAGACTCCCTGGAAAAGCCCCTGATATTGGGAAAGTGTGAAGGCAAGAGAAGGGGACGACAGAGGACGAGATGGATGGACAGTGTCATTGAAGTGACCAACATGAATTTGACCAAACTCTGGGAAGCAGTGGAACACAGGAGTAACTGGCATGCTCTGGTCCATGGGGTCACAAAGAGTCGGACACGACTTAACGACTAAACAACAAGATTTCTCCAGCTACAGGAGCAAGGGATGGAGTTTGCCCAGTTGCACCAATGTTTGTGATCCTGAGCAGTTGGGATGCCAGCTGGAAGAATCTGGTGATAAGCTTGGAAAATATGTCTTGGAAAACACTTGACAGTGCAATATTTGCCTGGGAGGCTTGTGAAGGAGGATCAGAGGCGACATGATAAAGCTGCGGAGAAGGTTGTTTATCATCATAAACCAAGAGGGTCCATGGATGATGACTTCACAGGAAACCAAGAGTCTTGACTGTTAAAGAATGTTATAATTGTGACCGTGATGGACATATCTTTAAAAATTGTCCCAGACATGACGGAGTGAAGAGAAAAAAGCAAACACGGAAGCATTAAGGTCATTTAGCTATTGTAAAAGTTAGTGAAAAACAAAAAAGAATTTATGGCTTTTAGCACATTTGCCAGAGAAACGTTATTCACAAACTTAACCCTTCAGCTCAAAGTTTAGTGAAACTAGCAGATGGAAAATCAGCATCTGTAATAGGAACAGTTTCTATGTACTTTCTAAATGAAAGTTTAAAAATGTGTTCTGTGTCCCAAGCTTACAACTTAACTTCTTAAGTGTACCGAGCCTAGATATACAGATACACTGTAATTTTTGAAAAGGGCAGAAGCAAAGTAATGAAAAATAGTGCACAGGTGGCAAATGGTTCTCTAAAGGATCATATGTGATGAGTCAGGGTGTTGGGGACCCCTGTCCTAGGGCGTCCGGGAAAAACTAGCAACCAGCAAATGTCTACACACAGGCACCTGTTTGTGATGCACTGGCTATCACCCCATGGCATTACAGGCCAAAGTCTCAGCACAAGGAGAGAGGCGTCTTCGCCACAAAGGGGAAGCCAAACACATACACCTGGACCACACCCTGAGCAGCGTTTTTCAGGTACTCACCTAGGAGAGCACCAGCAGGCAGGTGAACTGGGAAGCCTGATTCCCTCCATTGGGGAACATAAAGGTCACCGGAGACAAGACCAGCCAATGCACCAGATGTTACAAGTCAAACCTGTTACCCAGTTTTATTCTGCAAGGAATCAGGCAGACGCAGCCAGCTGAATCAAAGTCCAATTTATTGATTAACAATAAAATCAGCTGGGATTCTCTTAAAAACAGAGAAGACCCTGAAAATACTGTTTACAGATCTTTTATAATACAAACAAAAAACCATAATCTACTACAATTCTATTGGTTACCTTTACCCAGAATCAGGCTCCAGTCCCTTATTGGATGATGCTAAGATTGGGGCATCTGCTAGAACAAAGGTGAGTAGGCAGGAGATTAACTTACAAAAGCAATTCTATATTGCCAGTAAATGTCTTATCTTTAAATCAACTATGGGAAAATTTACACTTCATCTAAAGTCATTTCCTCCTCCTTTCCTTTTGCACCCATTCTAAACTCATTTCAACCCCCCTTCCCTTTCTACCCCTTTTCTAGTCCTTCCCATGCCCCAAAAGCACGGTAGTCACTGCCCCCAAGTAGGTGGGGCTCATTAGCTTTAGAAAACCATCCATTTTTGTGGTGTTCGCCCTTGTGGCCCCTGTTTATTTTGCCCTCACAAAGGCTCATGTCATTTTCTCTTCTCGCTGCCACCACTTTGTCGTGTCCACCCAATGCCCCCTGTTTAGGTTCACCCTCTGGATGCCTTTCCACTTTAGACGCTGCCACCAGGTGTTATTTCCCTAATACCAATTACATTATGTATTTCAGACACATGCGCTGCCAAGTATAACAGGTTTATTGAACTTCTGAGTTTGAGAATCAGAGGTTTAAATTACAGATGTTCTTTTATTGTCATGTAAATCACAATAGGTAAAACACAGATTATCGGTATCATTCATTAAATAGGATTTGTTTATGCACTGGTTTGATGGTACTTTTATTCAGAATATACTTTCACTAATTATCTATTCTCTATTATTTATAACTCTTTCTCTAGTTTCTTTATCATTCCAGCAGTTCAATCTATGTATTAACCTTCTCAATTCACTCTCCTACCTCTACCTCTCCAAATCACTATTTTCTGCTTCTCTCTAACTCCTGTCATCATCCTACTCTAACTTTTAACTGTCAATTTTTTTCTTCTCTTTTTGCCCCACCCCTCCTGCCCTATCATTGGCTCCTCCCTTTGGAGCTTTCATGATGGACAGACAGGAGTGACATCATGTGTTGGCATTTCGACACAATCTTGAAGAAGAAAAACTGATTTCAAACCTCCAATGCCTTGTTGCCTATATCCACCGATGCAAAAGCCTTCAAGAGTTAACCTTGAGGCAAAATCCTAGAGCCTGACTCTGGGAGGGAGTTCATGACGTTCTGGCAAATTCTGCGATGTCACTGGAACCAATTGTATTGGCTCTTGCCTCTCCAATGGACTATTTCAGTGGCGTGGAGCAGGGTCTCCATTGGACTATTTCAGTGGCGTGGAGCAGGTGAATTTGCTGCTTGGGTAATAGTCTATCCTCCATATTATCATACCCAGGCTTCGTGCTCTGAAGAGGACACTCCAGCTTCACATACAGCATGAAATTCAGTTCTTCTTTTACTTCTCAGGGCACCAGTGTCACTGAAGCACTTCTCCCTTTCCAGGCCTCATTATGGCTTCTCCCCAAAGTGAGTTCTTTGATGTGAACTCAGGTTACTGCTCTGACTGAAGCTCTTTCCACATTCCATGCATTGATATGGCTTCTCTCCAGTGTGAGTTCTTTGATGTAATCTAAGGTTACTACTGGCACTGAAGTTCTTTCCACATTCCATGCATTGATATGGCTTCTCCCCAGTGTGACTTCTTTGATGTATACTGAGTTCACAACTTCGTTTGAAACACTTTCCACATTCCATACATTGATATGGCTTCTCTCCAGTGTGGGTTCTTTGATGTAATCTAAGGTGACCACTTTGACTGAAGCTCTTTCCACATTCAATGCATTCATATGGTTTCTCTCTAGTGTGAGTTCTTTGATGTGTACTGAGTTTACAGCTTCGTCTGAAGGACTTTCCACATACCATGCATTGATATGGCTTCTCTCCAGTGTGCGTTCTTTGATGTGTACTGAGTTCACAGCTTTGACTGAAGCTCTTTTCACATTTCATGCATTGATATGGCTTCTCCCCAGTGTGAGTTCTTTGATGTGTACTGAGGTGTTGGCCTTGACTGAAGCGCTTTCCACATTCCATGCATTGATAGGGTTGCTCCCCAGTGTGAGTTCTTAGATGTGATCTAAGGTGACTATGTTGACTGAAGCTCTTTCCACATTCCATGCATTTATAGGGCTTCTCTCCAGTGTGAGTTCTTTGATGTGTACTGAGTTCACTGCTTCGTCTGAATGACTTTCCACATACCATGCATTGATATGGCTTCTCTTCAGTGTGAGTTCTTTGATGTGAACTGAGTTCAATGCTTCGTTTGAAGCACATTCCACATTCCAAGCATTGATATGGCTTCTCTCCAGTGTGAGTTACTTGATGTGATCTAAGGTGACTGCTTTGATTGAAGCTCTTTCCACATTCCGTGCATTGATATGGCTTCTCTCCAGTGTGAGTTCTTTGATGTGTACTGAGTTCACTACTTCGTTTGAAGCACTTTCCACATTCCATACATTGATATGGCTTCTCTCCAGTGTGAGTTCTTTGATGTGTACTGAGTTCACTACTTCGTTTGAAGCTCTTTCCACATTCCATGCATTGATATGGCTTCTCTCCAGTGTGAGTTATTTGATGTGATCTAAGGTTACTGCTTTGACTGAAGCTCTTTCCACATTCCATGCACTGATATGGCTTCTCTCCATTGTGAATTCTTTGATGTATACTGAGTTCACTGCTTCGTCTGAATGACTTTCCACATTCCATGCATTGATATGGCTTCTCTCCAGTGTGAGTTATTTGATGTGATCTAAGGTTACTGCTTTGACTGAAGCTCTTTCCACATTCGATGCATTGATATGGTTTCTCTCCAGTGTGAGTTTTTTGATGTACATTAAGGCTACCACTGAAACTGAAACACTTTCCACATTCCATGCATTTATAGGGCTTCTCTCCAGTGTGAGTCCTTTGATGTGAACTGAGGTGACTGATTTGACTGAAGCTCTTTCCACATTCCATGCATTGATATGACTTCTCCCCAGTGTGAGTTCTTCTTTGACTTCTTAGGGCACCGACTTCTCCCCAGTGTGAGTTCTTCTTTGACATCTTAGGGCACCACTGTTGCTGAAACCCTTTCCCCTTTCCATGCCTTTCTTTGATGGAAACTAAGTTAACTGCTCTGTCTTAAGTACTTTCCACAAACCATGCATTTATATGGTCTCTCACCTGTTTGAGTTCTCTCTACTTTCCATGCAGTTATATAGCTTTTATCTCTCCTAGTTATTTTATGTGAATGAAGGAGATCGTGTTGACTGTATACTCTCTCTCCTCTAAAAGATTTTCCAGATGGAACACAATTGTGAGTGAATTCTCTTATTTTTGTTCAAATGAGAGGTATATATTTCTACAGATAGAAAACATTTGCATGCCTTTTTTCTCCCCCCCCCCTCATTTTTTAAAGCAGTCCAGAGTCCAGAAACATCTAAACCCCGAGAAGCTGGAGATCTATTCTTTCATGTCCTTCGCTTGTTTCTCTATTTCCTTTTTCCTGCTTCACACATTATTGTTTTCAGTGGCAGCAGAAATTGATCTGCATAATTCTGATTCTTCTCTTGCCTGATTAAAAAAAAGAGAGAGGGTTGTGAATATCATAAAATTGCCTCTTGGGTTTTTTCCTCTCTTCTGTATAATTTGCAGGGAGCAGAAAAGTCTTTAGAATTGTTTTGCTGTTCTTCCCCCCCATTATCTATTTTATTATTATTCATACATACAAAATAGCAAAGTTAAAAAAACAGAAACAACAAAAAAACCCCTCCATACTACATATATAGATCTGAGATTTAGCTGTCATGTAGGTCATCTAATACTGGGGTCTCCAACCTTTTTCACCCTGCAGACCGGCTGGGGAAGGCGGAGCATCCCCATGCCTATGTGTGAAGAAGCACGAGCATTGCGGGCGCTCATGCGCATGAGCAAATGGCGCTGCTCGTCTGGGCGCACTTGCTCTCGTGCACATGCGCAAACGGCAGTGCAGTGTTTGCACAGGAAGATGGAGTACACACACAGGCGGAAACAGGCTGTGGGGGGGTGAGTGCATGCGGGGTGGGTGGGCCGGGAGGTCTGTCTTGGTGGCCCAGTCTGGCTCAGGCCACAGGCCAGCACTGGGCCACGGACCGGGAGTTGGGGACATCTGATCTAATATCAACGGGTTCTTGTCAAGTGGTTCACCATGATATTTTCTTCCCCTAATTTCCTCTCTTTCTGGTCCCAATTATACATCAGCCCCCAGCTTTCCTTTACAAAATGTCACGGTTCATCCCATAATGCCCCTAAAAGCTTGTCTAGTACTGCAATGTCAAATAGTTTCTTTAATAGCTCCTCCATCGTTGGTATTTCACAATTCCTCCATTTTAGGCCCAGAACAACCTAGCTGCTGTAGATATATACAGCAGACTATTTTTTTTATCAGCGATCTCTGGCATTACATTCAATTTAAAAAATTCAGCTTTAGAGTGTAGTTTTTGCTCCACAATTTCTTGTGACATTTCCCAAACCTGTAACCAATTGGGGTTTTTTTTTGCCTTTTCAGATGACCACCAGACATGATAGTATGTTTCCAAAAAGCATTACTGATCCCTTCTGACAGTTTTGCCCATCTTACCGGAGTGAGATGCCACCTGTAAAACATTTTAAGGATATGTCTTCTCAAAGGCTTTCACGGTCAGGATATGATGGTTGTTGTGGGTTTTTCGGTCTCTTTGGCTGTGTTCTGAAGGTTGTTCTTCCTGACGTTTCACCAGTCTCTGTGGCTGGCATCTTCAGAGCATAGACAGAGTTCCTACTCCAGTCCTCTGAAGATGCCGCCACAGAGACCAGCAAAACGTTAGGAAGAACAACCTTCAGAACACGGCCAAAGAGCCCAAAAAACCCACAACAACAATTTTAAGGATATTTTCTCTAACTTTAACTGGTTTCATCAACTTATAATGATATTTCCACATTCTTCTTCAATCACCTGTAACAATGATATAACTGAAATTTTGTGCCCATTTCCCCTCAAAAACCCTATTTTTATTGTTTTTATATCTTGATTCTAATTCCAACATCGACCACCAATCTGTTGATAGGCGGAATACCTCTAAATCTTGTTTTTCACAGGTTGTGAGTCAAGACCCTTCACGGATTGCTGCCTTGTTGTAGCGAAGGGCTTCAGTAATTCAGAGAAGCTATGCTGTGCAGGGACACCCAAGACGGACAGGTCATGGTGGAGAGTTCTGACTAAATGTGATCCACCAGGAGCAGGAATTGGCAAGCCTCTCAAGTATCTTTGCCAAGAAAATCCCATGAACAGAAACAAAAGGCTAAAAGATATGACACTGGAAGATGAGCCCCTCAGGTTGGAAGGTGTCCAACATGCTACTGAGGAAGAGTGGAGGACACGTACAAGTAGCTCTAGAGCTAATGAAGTGGTTGGGCCAAAGCTGAAAGGATGCTCAACTGTGGATATGCCTGGAAGTGAAAGGAAAGTCTGATGCTGCAAAGAAAAATACTATATAGGAACCTGGAATGTAAGATCTATGAACTTTGGTAAGCCGGATGTGGTTAAACAGGAGATGGCAAGAGTAAACATTGACATCCTGAGCATCAGTGAACTAAAATGGATGGGAATGGGTGAATTCAATTGAGAGGATTATCATATCTATTGTGGGCAAGAATCCCGTAGAAGAAATAGAGTAGCCCTCATACTCAACAAGAGTGGGGAAAGCTGTACTGGGATACAATCTCAAAATGATTTCAATACAAATCCAAGGCAGACCTTTCAAAGGTGATGCTGTTAAAGTGCTACATTCAACATGCAAGCAAGTTTGGAAAACTCAACAGTGGTCAGAGGACTGTAAAAGATCAGTTTACATCCCAATCCCAAAGAAGGGCAGTGCCAAAGAATGCTCCAACTATCACACAATTGCACTCATTTCACACATTATCCTCAAAATCCTCTAAGGTAGGCTTCAGCAGTATGTGGATCGAGAACTCCCAGAGGTACAAGCTGGATTCCGAAGGGGCAGAGGAACTCGAGACCAAATTGCTAACATGCACTGGATTATAGAGAAAGCCAGAGAGTTCCAGAAAAACATCTACTTCTGCTTCGGCCTTTGACTGTGTGGACCACAGCAAACTATGGCAAGTTCTTAAAGAAATGGAAGTGCCTGACCACCTTATCTATCTCCTGAGAAACCTATATGTGGGACAGTAAGCAACAGTTAGAGCTGGATATGGAACAACTGATTGGTTCAAAATTGGGAAAGGAGTACAAGGCTGTATTTTGTCCCCTGGCTAATTTAACTTATATGCAGAATACATCATGCGAAAGACCAGACTGGAGAAATCCCAAGCCGGAATTAAGACAACAACCTCCGATATGCAGATGATAACACTCTAATGGCTGAAAGTGAGGAGGAATTAAAGAACCTCTTAATGAGGGTGAAACAGGACAGTGCAAAAAATGGTCTGATGGTCAACATCCAAATGGCCACTGGTCCCATCACCTCCTGGCAAATAGAAGGGGAAGATACGGAGGCATTGACAGATTTTACTTTCTTGGGCTCCATGATCACTGCAGATGGTGACAGCAGCCACAAACATAAAAGAGGCCTGCTTCTTGGGAGGAAAGTGATGACAAACCTCGACATCTTAAAAAGCAGAGACATCATTCTGCCGACAAAGGTCCGCATAGTCAACGCTGTGGTTTTTTCCTGTAAAAGGTAAAGGTTCCCCTTGACAATTTACAATTTTTGTCCAGTCGTGTTCGACTCTAGGGGGCGGTGCTCATCCCCGTTTCCAAGCCATAGAGCCAGCATTTTGTCCGAAGACAATCTTCCGTGGTCACATGCCCAGTGCGACTTAGACACAGAACGCTGTTACCTTCCCACCAAGGTGGTCTCTATTGATCTACTTGCATTTGCATGCTTTCGAACCGCTAGGTTGGCGGGAGCTGGGACAAGCGATAGGAGCTCGCTCCGTTGAATGTATTCGATCTTACGACTGCTTGACCTTCTGACCCTGCAGCACAGGCTTCTGTGGTTTAGCCCACAGCACCACTGTAGTGATGAACAGAAGTGAGAGCTGGACCATAAAGAAGGCTGACTGCCAAAGAATTGATGCTTTTGAATTGTGGTGCTGGAGGAGGCTCTTGAGAATCCCCTGGACTGCAAGGAGAACAAACTTATCCATTTTGAAGGAAATCAACCCTGATTGTTCACTGGAAGGGCAGATCCTGAAGCTGGGAAACGTAGCTAGGGAAATGAAAAGGGTGAGGATCGGAACTTCCTGGGTCCTTGTGTCTCCACTAGATGATCTTAATTTTGTGCTTGGGAGACAGAGGTTCTTGGTGGTGAGCAGGATCTTGGTTTTTTTTATATATATATTTGGAGATTGTTTGACTAGACCGTAGGGGCCTTGATTATGATGCAGGAATCATTGTATCGGTTGGAAATCCTCCTATAATTTTTTAAAATGTGTGAGAGCTCTTCCAGTAGCAGTCTCGTGTTCTCTACTCTGCTGCTCTTCTTTCTCAGAAAGGCATGGGCTTATCCCTACTGTGTGCGGTCAGGGACAGCATCAAGATGGTCCTTATTTTAGGCCATGACCAGTTTCAACCTGGAATTCAGAGAACCAGGTAAAACCTGGCTCCTTCAGCCAGAGTGAAGGATACAAAAAGATAAGAAAATGAAGGAGACTAATATCACTTAATCACCAAGCAGTGTGTGCACTCCAGGGTAACAGAAAAGTGCTCTTTATTGGTGTTTTTTGTATCATTGGCTACGGGTAGAGAGGTTAGTAGCATTTTTTCCTTGTGATACAAAACTGCCCAGAATTTTATTTGCTTAAAATTTCAATTCAATTTGAGCTTTGTAAATACAAGGAGGGTAACATATATACGTATAAAGTTTCATACAACCTGTCCTTTTACGTCAATGCAAAACTGGATATCTAGATGATATTTTTAAAGGGTGCAGTAAATTGGCTGGGTT